AGCTAATTAACAACTGTTAAAATTTCTCAATGGTAGTGAAAAAAATAATTTTTTACCCTGTCAAAAACAGCTATTTTCAGATAAAGCCATTTTTGTAGCATTTTCCTTTAAACGTTAATGAGCTCTGCTGACCCCACCCCTTTCTTCTGCTCTCAGAGAGACTGTTTACTTTAGCCGCATTCATCGTGAAACTTGCTAATTAGCACATTATTAGGAAAGGCGATTTGCAAAGATTCATTACAAAACATTATACTCACTTCTTCTGTAGATGAGGCTGGATCATGAATGATTCACGCGAACATAGACGCATTTATGTAGATTGGGGAGCATTCCCTTCAGAAACAAATGTAATCCACTGCGAGTTCAGCGGCTCAGATGTCGGGAGTAAATGATGACTGCTATGTTCATTATTACATCCAACAACAGAACACCTCAATCGCTTAGGAGTCATTCTTGTCTACATCTGCTCCAGCGGTGAAACAATGGCGGACTGATGACAGCTCACTCTGGGCAGGTCTAAGGTAAGATACCAGTCCAGTCTGTGCTGAAACGCTACTGTCAATCAAACTGTCATGGGAGGGGCCTGTCTGTGTGAAGTCACAGACAGACATCTGAGATCGGCTTGATTTGAGAAAGGGGAAAACGTTTAACCAGATTAATCTGCCACTTGAGATTAGAGTGGCACCTTTCCTATCTATTTTCAAGTCTCTTTTAAAAACACACTTTTTCAGTCTGGCCTACCAAAATTCCTTTCTCATTACATTGTATTATGATCTTGATTATTACTGTCTTCAGTCTTATCTGTCAATGCTTATCTGTCATTCTTTTGGACTTTTAAATTCATATGTTTTATTATTTCTGTTTTATGTGTTTATGGTCAGATTTTTTTATGTACAGCACTTTGGTCAGTCTTGTGGCTGTTTTTAAATGTGCTTTATAAATAAATGAACTTGAACTATAATTCCAATCTGTTAAAGAATTTTTAGGCTGCAATAAGTCAACCAGAACCAGGAACACTTCCCATATCACCCGATGTACTTGTTACATCGTAAGAAGAATAGCACCTATGCTAATATTTTATTCTGTTTTATTCTTATTCCGAGGTCACCGTAACCACCCAGATCCAGTCTGTATCCATATCAGGTGGTTACTGCAGTCCAAGGTTTTTTTCTCCATTTCTGTCACCAATGGAGTTTTGGTTCCTTGCCACTGTCGCCTTTGGCTTGCTTAGTTGGGGACACTTAATTTCTGGCAATACTGCCGACTTGATTTCACAGATACTATTTAAAGAGAACTGAGCTGAGCTGGATGACTTCACTGAATAAACAATTCAACAAATCACAAATCAACAATGAATCAAGAACTGACTTTAACTGAAAAAAAAGATTGTTTTTATCCATCCTATTTTTTTGTATTTAATTATTATTTAACTCCTGTTCTTAGTCATTTTATGCATTTACTGATGTAACTCTGGCCACAATGTTTTATGAGGTGGATTTTGCTACTGCTGTAGTACCTCATTTTTAGACTCTATGTTAAGATTTTCCATGTGGCCACTCAGGTGTATTTCAAAGCCTGATTATTTCCCCAAACAAGTTAAGCACAAACTGCAGCTGAATGCAATGACTCAGTTATCTGTTAACAAAGGATCAGACTTCATGCATTCAGTTTAGAGTTTAGAAATATCATGGATAAATCCGACCATGAACAGTTATAGCATATATTACTACTAACATGTGCTACTAACTATACTAAGGCTAAGCTTAGCGTTTAGTTTAGAGTTAGGGGTAGAGATGTACAGATCAGCTCAAACGTCACCCGAATCCACGGCTTCAAATAAATTATCCACCCGCCACGCACCTGCACCTATATATTTCTCTGATTTAGATATCCGCCCCAACCCGCACCTAATCGTCACATTGCAATGATTCTAATTCTTAGTTTTACATAATGATATGATGAATCAATGGTTAATTTTTAACAGCAGATTCAGTAACGTTAGAGCTGATCTGCACATTACGGCTCCGACACGGCCACCGGAACTGACGAATTATAACGTGTATTTTGTGCTCGTTGTGGTTAGTGTGCACGATTGGCATGTTGTCAGAACTTGTCACTTTAGGTTCGAATCCCGGGTGAAGCATGTATATAATTATAATATTTGAAAGTTGTATTTTTATTGTTCTGTTCTTGTAATTTGTTGTAACATCTCTTTGACAACTGAATTAACTCTTTGTGAATGTTATTTTGGTCATGAAAAAATTAACATTAATAAAAGGCATCAAGCCACAACGCCTGGCATTTTTTACATATATTTTTATTTAAATATATTAATTGTTCTGCTGCATTAACTCCACTTTTATACTTTGCGGGAGTTAGGCTAAGACAGATGTGCAATTGTGTGGTTTGTTCCCACCCCTGTCGATCAAAAGCAGATTTGGGTCTCGAAACACTTGAACACCATAGGGTGTTCTTCACATCTGATTTTTGTGTATGTATGTGTGAATGCATACCTTGTGTCTATACTGTATATGACTTGTTTATGGAATTATACATTCCATTTTGCATCTATTATTTGTCTTATTGAGTGTTTGAATTTACACAGATCCTATTTCTAACTTTGCCGGCGGTTCCCTCCCTTATAATAATTATGTGGCAGGTAGTTTGGGTTTAAAATTCCAGGCAATTTGTTACATAGTGGCGGCCGAACAGGGACCTGCAGGCCTTTATTTCTTTGTGTTCATTGTATGTTTCAGACTCTTCGGTATGGCAAGTGAGGATGCTCTGGGAGTTTTGGTCCCGAGCCGGATTTTTCATCTAAGACATTTACTGCCCGAAGAGATCCATTTGGTGAGATGATCCACACATTCAGTAATCTATACATTGATTCAGGAGAAGAGGAGGAAAAGGTTTTGGATGATGTACAGGAACATTTTCCACCACCGCCGCCACCAGCACTTGGATTTGAAAGTCAGCCTAGTTATACCCATACCGACACCAACTTCAGTAGAGGGGTTATCGGCACAACTAACTGCATTTTAAAGCCACTGAAAAAAGAGCAACCAGAGGGTTAGAGAGTGTGCTTCTCAAGAGATGTTGGAGGCCAAGGTTAAGCCTTGAGAGACGAAATGAATGAACGTTTTGAGCGGCAGAGAGAGACAGAATGAAGCAGCATCTGGAAATGGCAATAAAGGACCTATGACAATCTGTGATAGACTGTTTGAAACGATGAGATGCTCAAATGGAACAAAAGTTCAAATCCAACAATGTGCGTTTAAATAATACCACACAGAACATGCCCAGTTATTCCACTCCATATTCAGCAGCTGCTCAAAGTCAAACTTATAATGTACCGAATGTGCCTTCAGTGTGTCCAGACAATCTTTTGTCTTTGCAGTACAATCTCCCAGTAAAAATTGAGTTTCCTGGCTTTTTTGAGATGCAGGAAGAAGATCCTGTAAACCCTGAGTGGTGTGAAGAGTACTTTGCAGTTCGACCTCTCAGTGATTCTGAAATTATGGCTGCTTTGACTGCTGCGCTCAAAGGCACCGCTAAAGACTAGTGGCTGGCAGAACATCAACATGTGAGGAGTTGGAAACGGTTACGGGAAGTCTTCTTGCAGTCTTTCTTAAGAGAGGACTATGAAGACATTGCTATAAGAAGATTACAAGAAATGAAAAAGGGGGTGAAGGAAAGTATCCGAGAATTTGTTTACCAGTATCGAGCACTGTGTATGAAATGGAAAAGCGAGATGAGTGAGAGAGACATTGTCCAGGCTATCCTAAGAAACTGTAACCTCCATCTGGCCAGCTTGTTAAGAGGGACGGTGAAAGATGTTGGGGAATTAGTAAGGATTGGCACGCAAATTGAAAGGGATTTTGAAGAGTCTAAGAGATACTGGAGGAAAGTTAATGCAGCTGACTAAAAGAAGAAAGTTCAGTCTGCCCATTTTCTCCAAGTAAGGCCTTCCTATACTAATGCAAGTATTGTCCAACCCTTTCATGATTTAGCTCTAACTGGGGTCAAGACCATCGCTATCCCCATTGTCGGATCGATACTGTTCAGCAATGGCTGACACTGGTAGTACACTTTCTCTCATTCAAAAGTCAACTTTGGAACAAACCAGCAGGAATGAGCCGTATTAGCTCAGTGGAGGTCAAGCATTTCTTCTTGCCAATGGACAGCAACAGACTGCGATTGGAAATGTTACTTGGAAATGTGAGATCCAGGGAAGTCAGATGGAGCTTTTCTTGACGGAAGCAGGTCTAACTTTAGACTTCCAGAGAGTAGAGCATGCCTGCCATAGAAGGAAGAAATGAAGAAAGTTTTCCTTTTTTGCACATGGATCTCAAGCCAAAGTGCATTTTTCTATAGCCTTGCCCATACTTTCTACAGCCAACGAAAACCCATCTATCCATTCAACTATTGGTTTGTCAGGCTAATACCAGTTTTAAGTTTCAGACTCAACTGGAGAAGTTAATGTTGCAATGGCCCCGCTGTATGCACCCATGAAATAGGACACTTCAACTTGGTGAAACATCAAATACTCACAACTGATGAAATTCCAGTCGGAAAACGTCCATATAAAGTATCTGTGGATAAACTGCTAGCCAGATTGTCAGGTCATCAGTTTCCCCATGGGCAGCATCCGTTGTAGTAGTACCAAAGAAGGATGGTAGTTCAAGGCTGCGTGTTAACTATTGTGGTCTGAAAACAAAAAACTCATCTTGATGCTTACCCCATGCCACAAATCCAAGATATTCTGGAATCCTTGCATGGTGCTACAATTTTCAGTACCCTTGACCTAAAAAGTGGATACTGGCAGGTGGAAATGGCACCTGACAGTATCCAGAAAACTGCCTTTGTCACTTCATCAGGGCTACATGAATTTTGTCGTCTTCCGTTTGGGCTTAAAAATGCTGCTGCAACATTCCAGAGATTAATGGAGCAGGCTTTAAGAGAACTCAAGGGTAAGTGCTGCTTTATCTACATTGATGATGTTGTTGTGTTTTCCAAAAATGAGGAACAACAGCAAGTTTTCCATTGTCTCCATAAAGCGGGTTTAACTCCTAATTTGAATAAGTGTAACTTCATGCAACAAACTCTCACCTTCTTAGGACACATTGTGTCAAGCAGTGGAATAAAATCAGATCCAGCAAAAGTGGATGTAGTCACCTCCTTTTCAACTCCCCAGTCACTTAAAAATGTGCAACGATTCCTTGGGCTTGCTGGCTGGTATCACTGCTACATTCCACATTTCTCTGAGAAAGCTGCTCCACTCCATGCCTTAAAACAAAAAAAGTTCACTTGGTTATGGTCAGAACAATGCCAAAATGCATTTAATACAATAAAACAGGATTTAACTCAAGCACCAGGGTTGACACCTCCTGATTTCAATAAGCCATTCACAGTGCAAGTAGATGCTAGTGAGGTGGGGTTAGGTGCATTACTTACCCAGGAAACAGAAGGTGAGGAGAAGGTCATCGCCTATGCTTCCCGTTTATTACGAGGAGCAGAAAAAGCTATTCTGTTTTGGAAAAGGAATGTTTAGCTGTAATTTGGGTTGTAGAAAAGTGGAGGCTGTATCTGGAGGCACGTCCATTTACAGTTGTAACGGACCATGCAGCACTGACTTGGGTGTTCCAGCATCAGAAGCCATCATCACACCTGACTCGCTGGACATTGAGATTACAAGGATTCCACTTCACAATAAGGTATCAGAAAGGCCAATGCAATGTGGTGCCTGATGTCCTGTCGAGAGTTCATAATGACTATATGCCTCAGGAAATGATTGCTGTAATCAAATCCACCAAGACCGATGTATTGCCTAGCAATTTGCAAGTGGATTTAGCACAAATTGCCATAGATCAACAAAAAGACCCAGAGCTGCAAGAAATGATTCAAGAAACACAGTCCAAGGAAGTTTCCGATCCTACTCGCATTCATTATGTGATGTTTGGGCATAAAAAAGATCTTCAAACTTACAAATCTCAAAGTCCACTCCAAAGGGAGATATTTTGTTTTTAAAAAATTCCTTTTTCAAGAACTACAACGAACGGCTCGTTTGGACTACAGCGTTTGTTTTCCGGGTTTTGTTATATCACAAAGCGGCCCATTAGAATATCATTCAAATAATTCCCGCCTATGGAAATTCAAATGGGTGGGGAGGGGCGAGGTCGTGGTTAGAATGCTTGGTTGAGAGCATCAGACAAGATGACGAGGAAGAAGAAGTGCTGCTGTAGCCTCAAGTTTTCGCAAGTTATTACACATGCACCTGAATAATTATGTATGTAAATATGTGTTACAATTATGAAAATGTTTTTATAATAAATTGCTGACAGTACAATACTGGACAATGATGTAATCTGCAGAATTTACACTTCAATTATGAGACTACAGTGTTTCCCATACATTGAGTGCGGGTGTTTTTATATCACTGTATTTCTGAAGGAAACCGACTGTCTTCAGAAAATTGGATGTCATTTTCATTTCATCTTGCATGTAATGTCTGATAAAGCAGTGTTTTTTTTGAGCGGAGTGCTGCTTTGTGTACAGCCATTACAGGGGAAACCTTGATCTCTACCACTCTAACAGCGCATCCTGCTGGTAGAGAATGAGTTTGCATATATATGCTGCCTGGGAAACACTGGACTATGGTATAAATAAATTCAACTGTATAACAGTTTCACTGCAATTCATGTTATAATGTTACAATTAAATAACAATAAAAAATAATACATATGCACTTATCTGTACATAGTAAATGTAGTTATTTTTAAGCAGTTGTTGACATCCTATATAAAACGTGATTTAGGCTGGGCTGGTCCTTAACTAAACTTGCTGCTTTGGCAAGGGGCGGGGCAGTACTGAAACACCGTCTAAGCTGTTCGCCAATCACAATGCACTGGGATAGCTAACCAATCACAACACATTTAGTTTTTTGGAAGGCGGGCGTTCATCAAACCCGGAACTAATCGAGCCGTTTGTGCCAGACTGGGGAGAAAGGTAGTGTAATAATGTAAATTATGTAAAAATAATGCTTTTTTCGAACCACCAAGCATGAGAGCATGTTCTACTACACCCCCAAAACAAATTCAAGACACTGTAAAAGGTTCAATATGCTCTGGGTCTGAATCAGGCTCAAATTGATATGGCAATATTGACTCCATCCTTAACTAAACCGGAGCAGATGGAACTTGCTGCTTTGGCAAGGGGCGTGGCAGTACTGAAACACCATCTAAGCTGTTCGCCAATCACAACGCACTGGGACAGCTAACCAATCACATCACATTTCATTTTTCGGAAGGCGGGCTTTCATCAAACCCGGAACTAATCAAGCCGTTTCTGCTAGGATGGGGATGTAGTAAATTATGTAAAAAAAAATCACCAAGCATGAGAGCATGTTCTAATACACCCCCAAAACAAATTCAAGACACTGTAAAAGAGCATAATAGGACCCATTTAAGCTCTAAACGCTTATATTCAGGTGTATGAATGTATCTCTGGTTTACTATCTTCTAGATGTTTCTTTCTTGGTATCAAAATTATCTGCTCTTTATTCCTCAAACAATGATGTACACTATGTGATCATGAAATGCATCATACTATTTGTACTATATTTTGGGTAAAACTGCACCAATCCTCCAGGCCATAAACATGCAAATGGAACATAAAGGGAGACAGAGAAAACTTCTCCCGCTCAAAAATTCATGCCTGGTATTGGCCATTCCACCCAAAAGGTGGGTGTGGATAGGAACTATCAAAAGTCCCTAACTCAGACTAATCGCGGCTCAAAACCCTTCTTCTTGAGATGGACACTCTCCAAGACTCCTCAAAACTCTCCTCTTGAGTTTGATTTTCCGGCAGTTTTTAGCTTCATGTAATTCGCTGTGAAACCATTGATTCGCTGTGGACTTTCCTATCTTCAGAAGAACCAGAGAAAAACCTCCAGCTCACTCCTAAAAGAACTCATTAAGAACCTCCATTGTCTTAAGGCATCAGGACTCTTGTTCAGCAACAAAGCCGATGCAAGTAACCGTTTACAAATATTTAGATGCGTGTTTAAGTTTGAGCCCCTTATTAAGGTGATTTTTGATTCTGATGATTCTCATTAGGTTGTGGTTAATTGATGTGAAATACTGCCATTCTTTTGCTCTTCTCTCTCTCTTCGTTACTTTCCTTCATTCTGAATATATGTGTTTTGCTTAATTTAGTTGCATGTTAGCTATATTTTCATGTATTAAATCCCTTATATTCACAGTCGATTGTCTCTGTGTGCTGCTCACAATTTGGAGTCACTGAATGTTGATCCTTGCTACATGCTAAGTTACTGCTAGTACTGCATAAAGTGGGAAAACTATTCTTCCTTGGCCAGGAAAATAATCTTTCCTAGAATTGATAAATGATTATATTGTCTGCTCGGTGGACGGACAGATCAAATAATTGTTATATTGATTCTGCTACAGTTAATTATAAGATCGAATCTAAATATGCATTATTAATTATAACCAGTTATAATTAATCATAAATATTTCCCTTTTGAGCTAATTTGCTACACCGCAAAACAATGATTGTTTCTTATGTTGGTAATCAACATCAGCTATGGGACAAGTGGATTCAAGAGTTCTGTTATTCACTTAACACCGCATGGCATGAGAGTACAGGTTTTACTCCTGCAGAAGTTGCATTGGGATGGAAATGGAAAGGAACCATAGAAAGAGCCATTCACAAACCACCTGATCCAGATGACCTTACCTACTCACTTATCGACAGACAACAACAACTTATCAACTTGGTCAGAGCTAATGTTGAACAAGCTAAGGAGAAACAGAAAATATATTATGAGCAACGCCGTAAACCAGTTCAGTTTCAGGTGGGAGATGTGGTTTGAGTCCAGACATATCCTCTTTCCAGAGCTGACAAAAGTGTATATGGCTAAGTTGGTAGCGAAATGGAAGGGTCCTGCCAAGGTGCTAAAAATACTTGGGTCCGTCAATTGTTCTCGAAGTTACTTTGAGGCCTCTGATTTTGTGGAAACTGTGTAACAAATGCAGACGTGGTTTTATGTTTACGCGCCACGATGCAACACAACGTGTAATAAGACCGTATAAGTCATTATATTCCGTAATTATGTCCCCACTGGATGCAACAAATGCCTCATTTATAATGGGTTTTAATGTTTTTGTCTCATCGCTCCGGTCGGACAGGGCATCACAATATGGTAAGGGGCGTAAAATTTCCGTCACACGCTTGAGGTATTCGGCCAATCACAATGCACTGGATAGCTCACCAATCAGAGCACACCTCGCTTTTCAGACCGATGAGCTTTGTAAAAATCAACGCGTTTCAGAAAGGCGGGGCATAGAGGAGAAACAATAATGTACAGTATGTGGAAAAGAATGTGTTTTTTTTTACCTTAAACCGCATAAACACATTTCATTACACCAAATACACCAAATAATGGTCTTTTTAGCAACATCATATGACCCCTTTAAAGAAAATCTGCGCTGAGTTACTTGTCAGCTGCTCAGTAACATTTTCATGAATTTTTACAAGTCATGGATGTAGAAATGAGAATCATTTATAAATCTGCTGTTGTTAACAAAAAGAATCAGTGAGATCTTCCTGCGGGTTTCCACCAAAATAAAAGCTGAGAAAAAGCAAGAACTCCATCAACATTCATAAATGTTAGTATTGTAATTTTACGGTTTCTTCTGTAAAATAAAATTTAAAAAACTAAGACAATAATAATCGCAACAGCTCTATTAATACATTTATTATAACATTCAGACATAGTGTTCAAATTGGGATTTGTAATATTTTCTAATGTTTTAAAAGACGTCTTTTCTACTACAGTAAAAAACAATACAAAAACAGTAATATTGTGCAATATTATTACAATTTTAAATAACATTTTGTATGTGAAAATATAGTAAAATGTAATTGATTGGTGTTATGGCAAAGCTGAATTTTCAACTGAATTTACTCCCAGTCTTCAGTGTCCCAGGACCTTTCAGAAATCATTCTAATATACTAATATACTCTTTTTTTGTCTTTAGCCAATCACATGCCTGATTCAATAAGGGGATCTCAAAAATTGGCTTTTTTCTTTTTACTAACTTGTTAATTTTAAGTTAAATTGTGCTTTGTTAGTATAATATCTGCTAGAATGTTAAAATATGTTCAGTGTTAAATAAGTATACTTACATTTTTGTAATTGATTTTGTCTTTGAAAAGCAAGACAAAACTGTAAAAAAAAGAAAGAAAAAAAGCACATTTTAGCTATTTAATTTATGCAATAGTGAAAAAATGGGTAAAATAAACACAAAAAAGGTGTTCGTAATTTGGCCCAGTCAATCATTTTGTTCGGCTTCAGTCAAGAATTTTCATTTAGGTGCATCGCTATTTTAATTTTTTGATTTTACCCGACCCGTGAATATATCCATGCATCACTAGTTAGGGGTTTGTTTCAGCATTGTGTAGACAACCAGCTCTGTGATTGACATAACCAATGATATCTTTAGAACTGGCCATGGGGAGGGTTTTGCACTAAGCTGGTTTGGGGGGAAAATCACTTTTTCTTTTTCCCCCCTGCATGCTGTACTTCTATTTGTAAGGGAAATTACACAAGTCTTGAAATTTTGAAATGTTACTGTGTACATTGATATCACAAGAGAATCTCTAGCAATAACTATTTTCAGTCCACTGTGTTCTATTTTCTCTTCCTTTCCACTGTAACTATTGGGGGGGGGGGGGGGGGTGGGGGTGTGGGGGGGGGGGGGGGGGCTGTGCTCTTGTCGTACTCTCCTGATTTAATGCACATATCCCATAAATGATTTACTGAAATGCACTAAGAATCCCTTGTTTATTAGTATATTATGATCATATATAGGACATTACCTTCAGGAGGAAGAGTGTAGCGAGCATACTCTGGGAAATAATCTTCAAGTTTGGATTTTCCTGCCAGTATCTTTTCTGCCAGCATGTCCTGTTTGTTCAGGAATAAGATCACTGAGATGGTCCTTAAAAACCTGTATGAAAACACACAAAGTGAGACATGCCTTTATATTTCTATATCTGCTGACATTTCTTTTTAAAGATGTCCAGCTGCAGCTTTGAGCCATTCTTGAGATCTCCACTTTAAAGGGATAGTTCACCCAAAAATGAAAATTACCCCATGATTATCACCCTCAAGCCATCCTAGGTGAATTTTTTTTTTTTCGTATTTCAGACGAATACAGTCAGAGTTATATTTAAAAATGTCCTGGCTCTCCCACACTTCATAATGGCTGGGAATGGCTGTTGAGATTCAATAGTCCAATAGAAGTCCAATAAACTGCATCCATCATAAAAAGACCAGCACACGGCTCTGAAGGGTTAACCCTCTGGAAAAATAACTAAAAATACTCAGTCATTTTTAATCATACAGATAAGAATAAGGTATCGTTTGAAACTGCAAAGGGTCTACGTTTATATGTGAATAATCATAATAACAACAAAACAATGTGCTTTTGTCAAATAAAGGGAAAAAAACAGGGTGCGCTCTCTCGGGTCTTAGTCTCTGTCACCTTTCTTCACAGACACATAAATAAAACAACCTGAACCTCAGCGAATACTTACCTCACATACATGATAAATATATGTATAGAAAGCTTGAAATATCTTTTAAATGGTCACGTCAAAAACAAATATTCTCTGATAAAGTAATCCATATGAAACCAACACAAGGTACAGTTTTTCCCATCTGAGTTCATTATAGGTAATGTGACTGAAGATTCAAAGTCAACCTGATTAGAACTGATTCCAAATTTAATGTTTTACACTTCATCAACTGTTCATCCAGCGAGACGTTAATATCAGTATATCTTAACAATTTGGATATTTATATTATGGCCTGGCCACGGTCATAATAACTGTTAGTGATGATTATTAAGCTACGAGCTAGGTAGCACGATCTGGGCAAAGTTTTAACTTTAAAATACACGACACAAGACAATGATTCTTATAATGAGACAAGAATGTATTTGAACTACTCTATAGATTACATGGAACTAAAACTATCAAAAGCACACACACACACATACAGTTCGAAGGATGAGGATTAACGGAGTTCTGAGGAAGTCCCAAAGACCTAGTAAGTTACTCGTTCTTAGATCGCACCAAGAAAATCACAAAAGCAGAGATTTGGCTTATCTTTAGTTGCTTAAGATCGATTCAGCACCAGTTTCAGCAGGTAGAATATTTTGTTTGTTACTTGCGTTTGCGCTGGAAAGCTGAGAGGGGTTTCCTTTTCTGCCTGAGGGAGTCCCGTTGCTGGTTGGCTGGCAATCTTCCTTGATAACGTCTTTTTGGGAGAGCGCTCGTGGTGAATGGTTGGTTTCCTTGTGACGTAGGAGCTTCGGAAGTCAGTTGCCTTTAGGTACGGAGAGTGATGCTTGAAGTTCTTTTGAGAGTTTCTTTGCTTGGCGTTAGACTTTGAAGACTTCGGCGGTCACGAAGTTTCAACGGAAGGTTTGAGTTCTGAAGTCTCGCTCGCGTGATGTTACAGCGTGTGAGCGCTTTGTAGTGCGGTCAACAAGACGAAAGAGCCAAAGATCGAGAGCGCGAGCGAGCAAGCATCTGTTCAGGAATTGGGTTTTTAAGCGAGCCGATTTGGTCCATCCCAGAAGCGATCGTCCCAATCGGACTCTGTTGCAGAGCTTAGCCCCGCCCCCATACGGTTCCTCTTTGTGCATAAATTAACATGCTGTTCACTGCAGGTTTTGTTAATAACTTCTATAAAGTGTCGTACAATGCACACTGTTCAAAATAACAGATTTTCATTCCTTTCAATGTTCCTTTCAATGCTTTTTTTATAACCAAAAAGGGGTTATTAAAACATTGATTAAAGTTGCACCGATTACATGAAACACATCAAGCATATATAAGACATAAAACATATTATTTGTGAATATAGTTGCCCTTTTATAATTTTAAATGATTGTCTTTTGAAATTATCTATGTGAGTTTGCATATTCCTTTGTTGGAAAGAAATAGTGAGTTGAAAATGTGCCGAAGAACAGGAAGCAGATGTTCAATGGGTCATGGGGTGTCACGCTGTATAGATCCTGTGTGCGCGTGCAGATCTGGAGGGTGTGATTAAATTAGCCATTTCCTGTGCATATATAATGGTTCCATGCATAAGCGATCACGAGGTATCTCTCAACTATATGTTGTGAAAGAACTCTTTAGTCCTTGATACAAAAGATCTCTGTTGTCTTCTGACTGGATTAGTTTTTCATTATACCGACAAGGGTTGACAGGAAGTCGACCCAGAATATTGGCGTCATGTGATGGGGTGATTAGTTTAGACCTCATGATGGCTTGGAGGGGGGAGATCTTTAGATTATTCTGAAATATGTCTGTTCAATAATTCACGTGGTGAATCCATAGTTTATTTGGGTCTGTTCTCGGACTGAGATCCTACACAATTATCAGAATGTTTTTATAATAAATTGCTGACAGTACAATACTGGATAATGATGTAATCTGCAGAATTTACACTTCAATTATGAGACTACAGTGTTTCCCATACATTGAGTGCGGGTGTTTTTATATCACTGTATTTCTGAAGGAAACCGACTGTCTTCAGAAAAATGGATGTCATTTTCATTTAATCTTGCATGTAATGTCTGATAAAGCAGTGTTTTTTTTAAGCGGAGCGCTGCTTTGTGTACAGCCGTGACCGGGGAACCCTTGATCTCTACCACTCCAACAGCGCCTCCTGCTGGCAGAGAATGAGTTTGCATATATATGCCGCCTGGGAAACACTGGATTATGGTATATATAAATTCAACTGTATAACAGTTTCACTGCAATTCGCGTTATAATGTTAGAATTAAATAACAATAAAATTAATACATATGCACTTATCTGTACATAGTAAATGCAGTTATTTTTAAGCAGTTGTTGACATCCTATCTAAAATGTGATTTAGCCAAAAACAAAACAAAAAACAACAATAACGTTACCACTCTAATATGTCTTGCAATATCCGTGTGTGCAAAAGTTCTGCACGATCCTCTTGTTCAATATTCTCTGGCTCTGAATCTGGCTCAAATTGATATGGCAATATTGACGCCATCCTTAACTAAACCGGAGAAGACGGAACTTGCTGCTTTATCAAGGGACGAGGCACCGTCTAAGCTTTTCGCCAATCACAATGCACTGGGACAGCTAAGCAATCACATCACATTTCGTTTTTTGGAAGGCGGGCCTTCATCAAACCCGGAACTAATCGAGCCGTTTGTGCCAGGATGGGGAGAAAGGTATTGTAATAATGTAAATTAATGCAAAAATGTATGCGTTTTTCGAACTACCAACAATGAGAGCAAGTTCTAGTACACGCCCAAAACAAATTCAAGACATTGTAAAAGAGCGTAATAGAACCCCTTTAAAGTGATTATTACGTTTTGAATATGGATATTTTTCTTACAAAAACGCATCGATTCGTTACAGGAGGCCTTTGTTCACCCCCCGGAGCCGTGTGAGATGCTTTTTTTTATGGATGGGCACCCGCTGAGTGACATTAAACGGCTTGAAAGATCAAAGACAATTTTTAATATAACTCCGACTGGATTCGTCTGAAAGAAGAAAGTCATATACACCTAGGATGGCTCTGGGGTGAGTAAAACACAGCCTAATTTTCATTTTTGGGTGAACTAACCTTTTAATATGTTAATTAAATACTATTAAAATACTGGCAGCAAAACTAAACACACTACACCTACACATACAGCACATAAATCTTATGTATTTATTATTTTTGGTGTCTTGAAACTCTCCCGACCAGCGTTTTGTGCTCAGATAATATGAAAATGGTCGTAGAGCACCCTCAGGTGACCGTTAATTTTATATACAGGTGAATATCGAATATAAATTTTGGTAACACTTTATAAGACCGTTCAGTTGTAATTAATTTATAAGTGATTAGTTAATGATGAACTAATCATTTACAAATGACATTAAAATAATTTAATGCACAGCTAGCCGTGCATTATCCCACTTATACCATGGTTGTTTGCCAGCACTGACAAGTTAAAGCCGGTAATGATGTTTGCAATATTTGACTGGAATGGTAAAAATGACGGTTATTTCGTCAGTTACAGCTCGTTAGCACCAGCATTCTGTCCGCTTCAAATCAGACACAGAGATGAAAGACACAGTGTGGTAAAATCACATATTTATTTGAATGAATTATAGCATTTATTTCATTTAATTATCAATCGATTGATCGAGAGAAAGAGATGACAGTTGTGTGTGCGTTACCTGAATCTGCGTGTCTTTCTACAAACAATAAAGCTGTTCAGTTACTTCAAAAACAGTAATTTGACCACCTCGTTGCTGAGGAATATAATGTAGCAATCCAGTATCTAGGCTATTTTATTAATAAAAGCCGTAGGGCAGTGCTGACAACAAGTTTCTGTGTTTGCGCAGCACAATCTGCGATCTCTGACCTCTCTCTATCTCTGTGTGTATGTATGTTTGTGTGCATCAATTAAAGCAGCACATTAATATAGAATGGTGATTGAACTGCCTTAGAACTACCTGTGCATTAAACTTTTTTTTTTTTGTGCATACCTGCCAGCCAATCAGAATCGAGTATTCAGACAGACCATGGTATAAGACCATATAGTTATTTTTTGCTGTGTATATATATATATATATGGGTCAACTCCTCTCAACCCTCACAATACTCAAAAATGTTGGTTTTAATTTCCCATTCGCTTTGTCATATCATAAATAGAAGACCCTCAAGTAATATAGAAACATATTAGCTGAGCTCCCACACATTTGTTTTAGATAATTACGGGCCATTATTCGAAGCATAAACCATAAGATATGTCCACCCTGTCATGGACATACAGTGGGTACGGAAAGTATTCAGACCCCCTTAAATTTTTCACTCTTTGTTATATTGCAGCCATTTGCTAAAATCATTTAAGTTAATTTTTTTCCTCATTAATGTACACACAGCACCCCATATTGACAG